TACTTTTATTTACCGTTTCTTTACCGTTTCATTACCGTTTTATACCGTTTTTACCGTTAACGTTACCGTTTCTTTGCCGTTTCATACCGTTTTTTTTTTTACCGTTTCATACCGTTTTTTACCGTTTCATACCGTTCTTTACCGTTTCATTACCGTTTTTTTTTTTTTACCATTCTTTACTGTTTCTTTACCGTCCTATATTACCGTTTTTACCGCTTTATTATATAATATATTGTCCTTGATGCATAACATGCATACGTTTGGAAAATCTTGTTGCACAGCACAGCGCAGTGTATGAGCTCATTAGTAATAATAATAATAATTGCCACATATAGCGTTTTTGTTACATATTGTTATCTCAGCTTCTCCTTCTGCGTCATAGATGAAAAATAGGAGGGGGAAACTGCAATGTTGCGTATTTTTCATCATTGTAAGAACAAAGGTATGCGATAGTGGGGGATTGTCTATATCAGAATAACGGCTCTTACATGACCAGTGCGTCATTTTGTTCTGTGACACAAGGATCGAACAGACAAGTTAGACTGTTAAGAAGATGTATACTAACGGTGCTGCAGGAAACGTCAAACGAATGAATTATTACATTCCTATCCAAAAGGACCATGCAGAGACTGCTAATGCAAGGTAGGTTTTGCCTTTCATCATTTTTTCTTTCCTTCAATTAACTGTTTTTGTATATTATACATATAATTTTTATTCTTTTATAGCACTTCTTCCTCCAATCCATCTTTACGGTCTCACCATACAACTCGTATCTTGGGAAGGAGATATGACCTAACATCCACATTCTATAAATATCTAGAAATTGGAATCAGTGTAGGACCTGTGTCTTGCGTGGAAATTATTCTTGGTGACAATCGCGGCAATCACATGATATTACCACATCAAATCTGGAAGGAGATTATGCACAAACGCACAGACTTCGATCGACTCCTGCAACAGGCTGAAACTTCGCCGTTTTGGATTCGCGACTTGTCAATCAAAAGTGATAAAATACAGAATGCTAAAGTTCTGAAACTCACTCTATTCGGCAATATTTTATATGTTAAACGAAAAACATTAGATAGGTTATTTATTTATGAACAATGTATTGACCATATGTATGGATGGCTTTGTGAGAATACACATCTTGTTGACACAAAGTTTAAAAGGTTTGTAAAGATTTTACAACAGAATAACATCACCGGCGTATGTTACGAGTCAAAAACCATTGATTGGGATTATGCTGCTAAAGTGATACGTGATAACGAGGATTTCGGTTGCGACTCGCTTGTTGATTGCGAACTATTGGCTTGTGCTTTACCCGACATTGTACATTACGCTTTGGAACATGATTTGTAACCTCTAGTTTTAATAAAATAACATATCGTATATATATTCTTAATTACCTCCTGCAGTGTAATAAAAATATATACAACACATTTTTGTATGACCATTGATTTTACACATAACTATCTGCACATCTGCATTTGATGATTCAAATTACACGGAATTACATCGCGCGATATGCTATGATATTAAATTTCATTACCGTTTTTTTACCGTTTTCTTTACCGTTTCATTGCCGTTCTTTACCGTTTCATCACCGTTTCATACCGTTTCATACCGTTTTTTACCGTTTACGTTACCGTTTCTTTACCGTTCATTCCCGTTATTTTACCGTTTCATCACCGTTTCATACCGTTTTTTACCGTTTACGTTACCGTTTTTTGTAGCTGTTTTTTTACAAAATCTAACAAAAATATTCAATTGGTGGTCTCGGTGCCAGAGAATTGTTCAACTTTTATCATCGCTGTAGTTTCACGAATCGTTAGCGCAAAGCGGCATGATGTCTGAGGATAGCATAGCTGCATTGTGCTGGATGTATCTTTTTCATTAAGTGAGCTCTGATTTCATGGATGCACAGTTGCAAAATGCACATGTGTGGGATTTTTTTCTTCTTGGCTAGTCGTTCCAACGATCAACTCTCAGTCTTGAGCAGACATCTCGTGTGTCGAGACGTATTGTACCTTTGTGGTATATAGTTATATTTCTTTGATTTTACAAAGACATACAGAAAGAGTAAGTAATCCAGAAATAAATTTATATTTATTTTTTT